AATTTCATACCCCGGCTCGTTTTTCAATGCTGAGTTTCCCTGTGGCCAAATCGGAGCCAAAATCCTGGCCAAACGGCCAGAAAACACGGCCGAAACCCAGCGGCGCCGGCCGCGCCCCTCCTCAGTTTTTGCCTCCGATGAGGCCCTTCCCGGCCTCCGTTTGATACAATTTTTATATCACCGCGATCACCATTCTTTTCTTTACAGGTTGATCAGAGCCAAATCACCAAAACACGAACCTCGCCGGAGAGCCGCCACACCCGAGAGCACCGCCGCCGGTAAGCTTCAAATTTTCGTAATTTTTTGGCCCCCCGAGAGCCCTAGGGTTGTTTTATCGTAGGGACCCGATGCAAGTGTGGCCGAATTCAGCCGGAAACGACCAAAAACGGCCAACCCGAGGCGAATCGCAGCCGCAAGCGGCGGCGCCGTCGCCGGAGCACGACGGAGCCGCCGTGCCAGAATTGCGATATTGGCCGAAAGGGGCCCTGGGTCTAATTTGGAATTTTTGGGACACGTGCAGGTACCAGTAGTGCGTTTCAGTTCCCCAGAAAAAATTCAGGAAAAATTAGGGACAGCCTGTAGGCGCACTGTAGAGCCGTATTCAGACCCCGAAATAAGTAAGGACCCCTCACCCTATTTCCTATCATGGTATTAAAGTTCAATAAATGATAAAATGGTATTTCATGAATCAATAGATGTATGAAATTGTTTAAGGTCGCTAATGGAGCCCGAGTCTGGTGTGTTTGTCGGTCAGCTGTTGTTTGGCCTATTTTACAGTTTTAAATGCAGTATGAGGTCTGATTTTTTCATTTCATAGTTTCTTGTGCATATATCACTGTTTTATTGATTATGGGTTGAATGACTGAGAACCCGATGTTGTATGTTGTCTTGTTTGGCATAAATTACTGGTTTGCTTTTGTGTGTGTGAATTGATGATGCTGACTGAGGAAAAGGGGAATGAAATGTTATGTAAATTGATAATTGTATAATGTAGTCAGCTTGACTAGATATCCTGGGAGATGGTGGACGGACTGGGTCCGTAGGAAACCCTACCGGGATTGTGGTATCTCATACCGGACGGGGTATGGAGACCTTATGTGTTTTGGCGCCCATACCGGACGGGGTATGGAGACCTTATGTGTTTTGGCGCCCATACCGGACGGGGTATGGGGACGGCCCGTTTCACCCTCATACCAGACGGGGTATTGAGGTTTATAGTTTTGGCGCCCATACCGGACGGGGTATGGGGACGGCCCTGGAATCTGATTACAAGTGTTAAGGGTTCACGGGTAGCGGGACCCCTATAGATCCATATGGATACTAGTAGGCTGGTAAATGAGGAAAAGTATGTTGTGTAATGATTGAATTGCAAAAGGCGTGATAAATATTATGTTATACAGTTCATATGATTTCATGATGATGATAATGTTATTGCTTTCGTATGTTGTTTTATGAATTTCACCGAGGTAAGTGGATAGTAAAGGATTTTATTATTGATAAAAGAATTTGTTGTAAATTATGCTCCATTGGTTTTTTTGTGTTTTCTACCCACCTTTACCTCCGTGACGGTGAGATAGTATGATGTCTTTACTGGGCTGTTGTAGCTCATTCCTTATTTAATCATTTCAGATCAGGAAGACATTGTTTCCGAGCCCGTTCCGCAGGAAGACGGCGAAGGGGACGTCTGAAGACTCCGTAGTTATATTTATAGCTTTTATTTTCG